TATTTTAACTGATGATTGATGCGCAGCGCGCGCTACGCTCCCTTCGGGTGAGCAGCGACTGTTTATTTAAATTTATGTTTATTATATTGCAGACCACTGTTTCCTTTGTATTGTAACCTTACTTATATTTTTTAGCTTATCCCTTTATTCCCCTCTGAAGGTTTGCAGCGGAGGCGGCCGGGGTGTTAAAGCAGTCGCGACGCGCGTGCAGTGTCGAGGAAGGCGAGAGTGGTTGCTTTGCTGAAAAAAGGGCCTTAATTAATAAAAGGTAGACCAGTGCGAATGAATACCAAAGTACTATGTAATTCGACAGGTAAAGCCTCAAAAGCTTGCAGTCCTTCCTTTACCTCCCTCTTTGCGAACAAGGAGCCAGCTCCGCGCCGCCTCGCTGCTTTAGAGGCGCAGCGCTGCGGAGCTGGAGGTATGCACTAGCCGGGTGCTGTGGACTGCTTTTCCACTGTAGTTCACATACGCCCGCCGCGCTTCGCGACTGCATTATCCTGGAGGGGTCCTCCTCCACCCCTTTAAGGGAGAGTGCGGAGCGCGTCTTGTGTTAATGCAGAACCACTCCTGCAACGCGTAGCGCGCGGAGGCTGGTGAAGCAGCGCGCTAAAGCACCCTTTCTGATACCCCTGAAACGTGAGCTGCTGGGGTGCTTAGCTCCGCAGGCGTAGCTGGTTGTGGACTGCTAAAGAAGTGCCCTCAGGTAGACCCTTTGCTGTTTTAGCTCCCGTATCTAGAAGGCTACGTTCCATAAGGGAATCCTCGACTGCGGAGCGCTCCCTCGAAAGGGGCAAGGTAAATCGTATCTCGGTAAGGGCAAGTGCGACGAGGAAGTGTTGACTAAATATAAAACTTATAAGTTATGAATTATAAATTTTTTCTAAAGGTGCTATCTATTATTGATACTCTCTATCTGCCTACAAGGTGTAAAGTGACACTCTACATCTAACGAGCCTAAGAGGACAGCGAAGGCAACCATCGCTCGGGCTAAACCGGTTTCTGCTTTAGCACGAGCGATGTTGCAACATGACTGCTAACAGGGCGTACCTGCTCTAGGTACGCTAAGGGAGGTTAGGAGGAGAGCTGGTGTGTGTTGCCAGCCCTGACTAGCGTAAAAGGTTAAGAAAAGTTGAAATATTAATCACATTATTAAAGAAAGCAATTACTCGAAAGTAATAAAAGGACTTGAAAAAAGGCGACTTAAAGCAGCAGCAAGGGGTTAACCCTTGTTAATTAATAGTCCGCTGGCTAATTTTAAAGATTAGAAGAGGTCAGCTGATCATAAATAAAGGGTAAAGCAGCGCTCTGTAGGTGCGGACAGCAGCAGCGCCGCCTGCGAACGGAAGTAGCGAAGGCGAAGCTCGTAGGCCGCCAGCTTCGCAGGACCGCTGCGCTGGTTAGCCTCACAGGCTAAAAGATAGAATTATAGAATTATAGAATTATAGAATTATAGAAGATAGGCGAAAAATAAATAGAAAAATATAAACTAAAAAAAGGGTAAAAACAAAATAGAAAAACACAAAAAAGGAAAATTTTTGTGTTTTTCTATTTTTTGAATTGAAATAATGGCTAACTACCTAAGACCTGCCAGGGTCAAAAGGAGAAAGCTTAATAAAAATAGGACGAGTTTAACTTTAACCAGCCTCCCCATGCTACGGATGCCCCACCCACCCCCTTGAAGGGGGAGTCGACTCCAGCATGGTGCGGACCGAAGCGCGGGAGGTTATTTGTTAAAAGATAAGTCGAAGCACAGCTAAAGCAGCGCCCAGTCGATCGAGAAGATATACAGTATGATAAAGCAGTCCAACTACTGCTTTAGCTTCCGAACTCTTGAGGCGCGTGGCTTCCTAACCGCTGATGCTAAATCAAAGCTTCGCGTGCTGCCCGAGAGAAAGGGAATAAATTAAATAAGAGTGCAACTAAATAAAAAAACCAACCTGTAAATTAATTTTCAGGTACTTTTTACTTTACAGCAAAAATTTTGCATAGATTAATATGCGGGGCTCTAACCTCAATATCTTTTGCATAAGAAGTTAGATTTTTGTACAACTAGGATACTTTTATAAAAAAAATATTACGCGCGGTTTGCGTCCCTCTCCTCTTTAAGGATAAGTTAACTCTAAAAGATCATAATTACTCAGTAGCGCTCCCGTCAACATCGTTGCAGTCTGTTATTTTTTTAAGATTCTCTAGCTAGGGCTATCCTATCCTTTAATTTTACTGCTACTTGGTCTGTAGTATATAAGAGTAGGCTGCAACGCATAAAGGAACTATGCTACCCGAGGGTTTTTAAATCAATCAGTCGGTCCGCGCCGCTACCGCGCTCCGCTTCGCTCGCTCCGCAGGGCGCTGCTGGAGGCGACTCCCCTTTAATAGGGGACCAAAAGGCAAGGGAGGGTGGCGGACCGAAGCCGCAGCGCTCGTAGCGTGCGAACCACTCCTTGCCAACCTTTGCTAGTTCCTTGGAAAACCTCTCCTTTGCAAAAGTAGGTCACAACTAGCCTCGCTACAAAGAAGGAAGGACGCAAAGCGCGCCAGCTGCTTCGCCAGAAGCGTGCAAAGCGCGAGGCGTGCTTATCAGGGCTCCCCTGTCTGATTCACACTTCATGCTTCGCTCCTGCGGACCGAATGCGAGTGTACATACGGAGGTAGCATCACTGCAGCTCCGGACGGTAGCACTCCAATATGCTTTAGCGCTTTAGCCCTTAGCGTGCTATCGAAGGAGCTGATACGTCTACCCACGCTGGATACGGAAGGCTAAGGCCACCTTAAGGGAGTAAAAGTGCTGTCCTCCCTACTCTGCGAAGCACTGTAATAATCTCTTACTAATTAAAAAAGTACACGAGTGACAGTCCACCCTAGGATAGGTGAAGGCTAATATCTTAGCTACCTCTTATAATCACTGCACATCTTTAGCACCTGGAAGCTTACACCATCGACTATATTAGCAGTGTTCACCCCACCTCCCTACAGAGCAGGACAGCGTCTTAGCCTTAAAAAAAGATTTATTCTCTTCAATAGTGTCTGTCCAATTTGCAATATAGGGGGGATAACTGTTCTATATCCCCCCCCCCCCACAGGACGGTTTCAGATTCGAATTAGGTTCCTTCTCCCAAACCAAAAGATTACTCCTAGGAAATCCCAAAAGTGAAATGCTTCACGCTTCAGGCTTCACTGCAGTGCTAAAGCAGAACCACCGCTCCCCCGCTAAATCAGCGACTGCCGTCTCCCTTCGAGAGCCAAAGCCCAGAAGCTAGCAGTACGGGCTAGGCAGCCCTATTCGGGAGAGGACAAAGGGAATATGCTGTGCGATACTCCGTAGGCGCGAAGCTATCCTGTTTGAGATAGGATACTGCTTAGTAGATGTCGAGGTGGGGCCTGTGGCAGGATAAGCACCAGCGCTGTTCCTCGCCTGCTTTAGCCCACTCCTGCTTTAGCAAAGTGCGGAAGCATATGGGACACCCCTGACACCGCAGGGCGGCACCCTTCTCGGTAAGAAGTAGGAGGTAAGGGGCGGTGCTTCCCTGCGGATAACCTGCAAACACCCGCCCAGCTCCGCTTGGCTGCAGTGCTGTGCCGACAGGGGCTGTATCTTGAAGACGCAGGGCCGCGCAGTATTCGAACAGAAATCAATTTAAGTTAATTATAGCAACCTACTAAAAAAATAAGGTAGGTAGCATAACTCTCTAAGGTATCAATGTAGGGCGTAAACTCCACCGGAACTAAATCTCCAGCTACCTGAAGGTCTTTCTAGCTATAGGCTTGTTTTTAATAAGTGGATTAACAAGGAGGCTACGCTAATTCGTGTCCGCAGTCCTCCGCAGGAAGGAGGCGAAGCACTGCTGAGAGAATTTACAAAAATATAAAGATTTGCTTATAAATGAAAGTACCTTAAAAAAATAAGAGAAATATTAGTTTAGCCCAGTACAAAGGTATTTATGTTTTTTTTAATAAAAGAATAATACAAGGCACGGCACATGTATTATTCTATAGTTTGTAAAAAAAGTACCTTAAATTTTTAAGAGGTTAAACTGTATTTAATTTAAATTTATACCTTTATTCTTTAAATAGAGCAGTCGCTGCTCCGAACCCGCTACGCTAAACTTAAAATTTAGTCTCCTCGCTCCGCACCTTTGCACGCTACGCAGGCCGCTGCCTGCTGAGGCTAGCAATCGTACAGCGGAGGGTTGCTTTTATTTGCTTCTCTGACTTCTATTGCTATTGCTATTGCTATTGATATTGCTATAGGTTTAAAATAGACCCTACTAGTTGCAGTCGCTGCTCTGCAGGAGCTACGCTCCGCCCTCGTACGACTCGTAGCTCTGCTTTAGCTGCAGCGCGCTAAACAGCCTTGCCGCTCCAGGCTCCTTCACTGGAAACTAAAGCAGTTACTGAACAGCTACTTTGCACGAGCTACACACCAGCAGGAGCTACGCGCGCTACGTGACAGGAACACGCTCCTCCGAAGGGGGGGCCGCGCTGCACAGCAGGGAAGCGAAACAGCACGAAGCTTGAGCCTTTAAGCCGCAAGGTTATTGCAGTCGCGGCTCCATCCGCGCTCGGACCCTCGCAGGAAGGGCTAGTGATCGAAGAAAGGCAATTTTTAGTGAAAATTTTTTTCTTTTCAATTTATACTTCTAACACTAAATAGATGAAAATTCAAGGTTAAACCCTGCTAATTAGTACTATAAAAACAAACACGTACCTGCTTTAGTACCCCAAGCCTGCTTTAGCTCTGCTTTTTTCTTTCCCGCACCCCTCCTGCGCTTTGCTGCTGTAGCAGGCCGCAAAGCGCGGGTGTCGCGAAGCGCGGCGGGGGGAGGGTAGCTGGTTAGGCAGAGCAACTAAAGCAGGCTCAGATAATGTAGGTCAGGAAGTAAGTCGGGAAATCGTCATGATACCTGAACCTTACCGTGTGAAATTTTTATTAGAATTAAATAGATTAAGCCTAAATTTTAATTTAAAAGGCAAAAAAATATTTTTTATTTTTAATTTAAATGAAAACAATTACTCAATTTTTATTAGCTTTCGGTATCTTATTTACTAGTTTTAGTATTATTTCTTTAGGTAATAGTCCAGTACTTGCGGTTGTGTTTTTAATAGCTACTTTTGTATTATCTGCTATTTATTTATTATTAGTAGGTATCAGTTTTATAGGTATTTCTTATATTATATTATATGTTGGAGCCATAGCAGTACTTTTTTTATTTGTAATTATGATGCTTAATTTAAAGGATAAGATTTAGTTGAGCCTACTTCTGTTTCTTTAAATAATAGCATTTATAGTTTTATTATTGTAATTTTTTTTGCATATATAATTAATTCATTAACTAATTACTCATTTAATTTACAAAACTTTATTGCTTTAGATTATTTATCCGCAGGTTCATTCCATCTGAATAGCAATGTTTTATATGATCTTTATTTTTCAAGCGAAGTTAATCTTAGCAACGGGGACGAAGCAGCGGTAATTTATTCTAATTTAGTTAATAATTTAAGTTCAGCTATGAACTCTATTAATAATTGAACTCAAATAGAATCACTAGGAAATGACTTATACGCATACGGGGCTATTTTACTAATATCTTTAAGTATAATATTATTATTAGCAATGTTTGCTACTATTATAATTTCTAAGCCTAATTTAACTAGCAAATAAACAAGCGCACCGCTAGCCCGGAGCGCTCCGCGCGCTCCGCTGGCCGAGCGCTGTGCGCTGCCGCCGAGCGAAGAGGGTTGCTTACATTCGGAGTAGCGCGGCAAGGGTAATCTTGAAAAAAAAAATAAAAGCACCCTTCTTCTGCTTTAGTGTTTTAACCTTTTAGCCTTTTAGTTGTTTAGCGCTTTAGCTTGCCTTACTCTCTACTGCTAACTAAAGGTCGTCCTGTCCGCCCTGCGGCGCGCAACGCTACTCCTTCGTCTGGACATTTTAAGGTTTCGTAAAATTAAATCAGCATCACTGTAAGCTATATCTATCCAGGAGTGGACATTTGTTTAAAAGTTTAAGATTAGTCTCCCTAAAAAAACGTTATATTTAAGATCATAAATGGTACTAACATTATATTACAAAATGAAAATAATAATGATTTTTTTATTTCTGTGTGGAATCGCAGGTTTTATTTTAAACAGAAATAATATAATTTTACTAATTGTAGCTATAGAATTACTACTATTAGCTGTAAAAATAAGCTCAGGCTCAGCTAGCTGAACAGCGGCTTCTTAATTTAATGCTGCAGTAGAGAAGACCCGTATTAGGCTAAATAAGTAGCTGCGCTCCCGCGCGCCTCCCCTGCAGCGCACTGCGGTCCGCAGGCGCGGAGCGGATGGAGGCACGACTCCCGCGCAGCGATCCCGCACGCCTCCGCGGGCGTATGGAGGCGCGACTCCCTTCCTCGCTCCGCTACACGCGCTCCGCAGGCCGATTGCTTTAGCTGGAGTGTAGGGAAGCGAGTGAGGAGCATACGCTAAGTCCGCAAGGGCGTACCGGGCGTAGCGTATGGGGAGATAAAAGCAATGCGGAGCCGGTACTGCTGTGCAGCGAAGCCCCTTCAGCGAATAATTGAGCCCTTCCAGCTTTCGGATGCTAAAGCAGTAGCTGGATTGCAGAGCTAAATAAAAATTTTTTAGCATTAAATTTTCTACTTTCGAACATCAGAGTTGCTTACTTATAATTTTAGCAAGGGAGCGGGGGCTACGAAGAGTATTATTTATTTTCGTTAGCCTAGTTAGCCTCCCTCCTACTGCATTTTCACCCCTCCCGCGCACCGCTCCATAGGGGGCAGCAGTCCTCCGCAGGGCGCAGTGCTGCGGGCCGCAGTGCTGCGCCGCGAAGCGCGCGGCGCGTTCCCTCTTCGGAGCTGCAGGGAAGGTGGAGCAGCAGGAGCTCCGCAGGGCACATGCTTTATCAGCACCACCTTTGGAAGCTGTGATTGAGGCTACTATTGCTTCACACTAGCACTCCTGGTTGAGGAGGCGCTCCTGGCTCATCTGGATGCTAAAGCAATCCTCCGAAGGAGGCTAAGGCAGCCTGCGAATTAGGAGCAGACTAATAACCAGTAATACTTTCCTTGAAATTTTAATTAGTAATTCACCTTCATAATCGGGCGCTACGCACGCTTCAGAGGTAAAGCAGAAGCAGTCTGCGGACTCGAACTTGGTAACTGAGACCCCTCCAGCGGTGCTACGCACCCCCCGCTAAAGGAGAAGGAGGGATAGGTTATACTGCTCTTTACTCTTCTAGCCATCTTAGGGTGTGTATTGCAGTCGCGAAGCGTTGCATTACCGGGTGTGAAAGGGTACGGCTTCAGGAGTGTACCCTAGGATACGCCCTTCCCTCCCCTCCACCTTGGCTCTTTTACCTCCGCAACTTTCCTTTATCCAGCTTTAGCGCGTTCCGCGACTGCGGAGGTGCGTGAGCTACGCGGGGTGCGTTAGAGCATGAAGGGTTACTCCGAAGGAGCCCCATCCTTCGGTTCTAAAGAAGACCAGGAACGCTCCGAAGGGCGTAGCTTACCCCTCAGCTCTGGAGGGGCGGCGCTGTGCGGCGCTACGTAGCGGGAGCCTAGTTAGGACGTGGGATTACTCAACTACTGAAGCCGTGGAAGGGTGTGTGCTACTGTATATTTCTTAAGAAGAAAAAAAAAAATTTTTTTTTACCATTGACAGCCTTAACTTGTAAAAGTTAATGAGAAAACCTACTATATTGAAAATAAAAGAACTTATAAAAATTCTTTATAGGTTACCGCCTCATGCTCTTTAGTGAGTATCTTTAACAAATAAAATAACCTTCTTTTTCTACTGAACCTTAGCCTACGAAGCTAATCGAGGCTACGCTCAACTTGAACTCGGCTGAGCCGATGAGGTGTGACCAGAGGGTAAGCAGGGAGAGCAATACTCATTCAAGTGCAACCTGGACTGCTAACTCTCTCCCAGCCTAACTTTAGCACCCCTCGCGCTTTGCTACTGCGAATCTCTGCAAAGTTAAGGTGAGGAGGGGCGGGTCGCGCAGCAGCGGTAGCAGGGCGACAGTGGAGCGTTGCAGAGATATTTACGGGCCTTTACGCATAGTTAATTTAGTAATATTCGATAGTTTTAGTAGTCTAATTTTTTGTTCTTAAATCTTCTGCTGCGGTGGTTCGCCTCCTGCTTGTTGGCAGGTTCGTAGTCCCCTAGCGCTTCGCTCCCGCCGCGCTTCGCGACTGCGGAGGATGGGCGCGCATGCTGGAGCTTCGCGCTTGCGACCCTCGACTGCTTTGGTCATTAGTATTTAGCCAAAACCCTTTACTTTGCGGGAGATTAATAAAAAAATTTTTATTTTTAACCTTGTAAAACGGTGAGGCACTAGTAGAGCGCTTCCGCGTAGCCCGGTACCGCATATTACGGTACCGGGTTGCGGAGCGTGTGTACCCCGAACTAGAATAATTTTACACTCCACCTTAAGGATTATGAAGGTTACTCGGCAGGCGTGGGGAGGGTTGTGTAGGCTGGAGATTAAGGGAAGGGTGAATACTACCATACAGTCCTCGGTCCGCTGTCTGCCTCTGCTTTAGGGCAGTAGCGCCCGGCTACCCGATTGTCCGCCCTGCGGGGCGAAAACGGGTTAGGTAGAGGGTAATCTTTCACTAGAGATATTTATTAATTGGTAGTGTACAATAACAAGCCACTCACTTCTGAAAAAGCTAAACTTTTAATAGACAAATGCTGCTACTCCGCAAGCCCTACGCAGGGTTCGTGGTTGCGGCCTACGCGCTTGCGGCTTACGCGCATGCGCGCATGCTGCGTGCCTGCTGTGCTGCGAAGCCCTTTGTGCTACTTAAGCTGTAGTCCAGCTGGAGCATTCCGAGTGCGGAGAAATAAGGGCAACCCCCCTGCAGGCGAAGCACCGCTCCGCAGGTGTTTCGCGACCCTTGCTGGGCGCAGGAGAGTAGCGCGGGCGGGCAAGGGGTAACCGAAGGAGCAGGGCGCCCTGCAGGGCGCGAAGAGGTCTTCTCCTAAACAAAAGCTCCGGAGCGTAAAACCAGCCCTGCTAGCTTAAACCTCAAAAGGGGGGGGAGGGTTAGCCTCCAAGCCATGGTTAGCAAGCAGAAAAAAGACAGAGCAAGCTATCTAGTGGAATAATTTGAAAAAATAAATTTTTTTATTTAGTTTGCAAAAAATTTATTTTTTATTTAGATTGCAATAAAAAAATTATGAACTCGACTGTTCTCAATTAGTATACCTCCCTACACTTTCTCTTATTGTGCTCCCTCTCTACTAATGGAAAGTGCAATATAATAGGGGAGCACGCCCGAAGGGTGCGTAGCTACTGCTACAAAAAAAGAAATTATTAGCATCGACTTTTTTTACTTAAAATTATGCCCTCCCCACCCGCGCAGCGCTCCGCAGGGGCAGCAGTCCTCCGCAGGGCGCAGTGCTGCGGGCCGCAGTGCTGCGCCGCGAAGCGCGCGGCGCGCACCCCATTCGGAGCAGCGGGGCTGGTGGAGCAGCAGGTATTACGCGCATGCTGACCATAAGGCTCGGTGGTTTAGCGCTCGCCGCCCTGCCACCCCTCCCCTACGCACGCTCCGCAGGGCGCATGCGGAGCGAGGGATGCTTCGCGCCCGCCCACCCTTAAGGGCAAGGGAGGAAGCGAAGCGCGGGAGCGCGTGAGGTGGTTCTGCTTTAGCACTGCAGGTTGCTAAAGCTGCGCGGGTTTGTTAAGATAACTTATAATCCATATTTGGCGGTTTATTATTATTGACCTTACGTAGGCTCCGTATAAAAATAAATTAGAGAACTAAGTTCTGCTCGGCGTTTTCGAAAATAAGCGTACTTGAATAAACGGGAATGCTAAAGTAGAAGTGTACTAATTGCATGCGCCGCGCTTAATAAGATGATAACAAGTCTTTTTTAATTTATTATACCGGAAGATAGAATAGGTCTTATATTAGTTGCAACCCTCTCGCTTGTGCGCTTATTTAAAAATTTATATGTTCCAGTTTCAGGCGCTCCGTCTCTGCTAATATTAACCCTCTCTAGTGTTGCTGATTTATAATTTTAGCCTCAGGACAGTAGCTAGTTGCCTTACTGGCCTTCTCCTTACTTCAATGAGAGGAATGATTGCTTCAACCCTTGCACTCATACAGATACAGCCCCTCCCCGCCGCGCTTCGCGACTGCGGAGGATGGGGGGCGAAGCTGGCAAGGTAAGGGCAGGGTCGGATCAGGTAATGTAGAGCTGGTTACGGCGTAGCCTCCAAGGGTCCAGA